TCATGAGAGAATGTAATCCATGAGCACTGTGAAGTAACAAGAAATATAATACCAAACTAGAAACGTTAAGATATGAAAGAAAAATGTCTCTCATAATGGTGAAAAAGTGTCACAATTAAGTCTTGTGGAGCTATATGGATATATTGTATTTCCCCAAGTCTATCCAAACTCTATCCCTCATGTCAAGCTCCAAAATTAGGGTTCTTCATGAACTAAAAATATAATTTTAGTTTCTAGCTTTGATAGGGATGAATTATTTAATACAGGCTAAGATAAACACTCTACCATAGAATAAGTTAATAGGGATCAATTATTACAGATAGCAGGAAGCATATGTCTTTGGCATTGCAGTGATTTTTGTTCTGCGGATGAGGGGAGAAGAAGATACCTTGTTTATGAAATAGAGATGAAACAAGGAAGAAATGGTGATTTACCATTGGGGCATAATGCAAGGGTGTATCTTTTCTCTGTGATCTACTCATCTCCAGGATCAGATAAAATAATTCTATATGCTGTTCTCAGAAAATATGTTGTCAGTTTTCAGAGGGGAAAATTATTAAACCTATTGTCTTCTTACTAAACATGAGTACAATAAGGACTATCCCTACTAAGGGACCAGTAAAGGCTTAGGGTTGCTGTTTTGCTGGGAAGGACAAATTAAACAGCTAATGGACTTATTTGGGTAAAAGCAGCTGTACGATGTTGACTCACAGTGCTGGCAGATGGACCTGTGTTAATGTTGTACACTGAAAATCAATAAAGCTAAACATAACCCTCTTCTCTCATGGGTAGGTGTCTTAATTTGTGAGCACTTGGAAATTTCTCATGTCCATTTTCCTGTGAGAAATTACTGATGTAATATTATAAATGGAAACACAAAATTAAGGATGTAGTCTAGTTTTGCTTGTTAAAGTGCAGCTTATATCCCTCTTTTTGATATTTAAATGAATGCATGAGATAACCGGCATTTTACTAATAACTTGTTAGAAATATTAATGCTAATATCATCCTCTTAATTGTCTCCTTAATATGCAGTTTTATTTGAAATCTCAACTGTTTTACAGATTAGAATATAAACAAAGAGTATGTGAATAAAGTTCTTGTTTGTGGAGGGGGTTTATTGCATTCATAGTAACTGATGCATTAGTAGCATTTATTATGTATCAATATCCTAGTGTTTGTAACTCTCTTCATAGGGATTTAAACTCATTTAACTTAAATGTTAGTGACAATTAACAGACTTCTATGAGTTGCATGAACAAACTTACATGCATATACATATACATAGGGTTTTTTCAGAGGCGTTTTATAGCAATCCCATACTTCTGTGTTTTCATCAACTTTATCTCTAAGATATCCTAGTTTATTTGGTGTAAAAATCAGGTGCCATAATTAGTTTAGCCTCAATATTCAAAGGAAATATTAAAACTCCGTATCTTTTATAACTGATAGTTCTGTTATGACAATTGGTAAATTTATCCAGATTATATTGTCTTAAGTATATGGTGATTTGCATATCAGAAACAATGACATGTTGGAAAGGAGACAGTAAACCATAGTATGGATATTCAGGTTTTTTTGTTTTTAAAATTCATTATAGTAATCAGACAGAGTGTTCACTAACTATGCAGGTAACAAACATATATTGTGATCAAAGTCTATTTCTTTTTATCAGAAAAGCACAGGCCATGATGTTATTCTAGGAGACATGATACATTCAAAATTTGCTATACATTTGCCTGAGAGGATCTGGTTCTCAGAAGTATTGCAATAGAGGTCAGAATTCTGACATTTGTACTGAAAGTAGAAGTGTAATAAATGCTACAGAATAACAATTAATATATTTACATGCACATCATTCTTTCCAAAAGGATTTTATCATCATCATGCCATCCTCATTGATATTCTGTGGAACGGGCTGAATTGGGTCTACTGAACTGTATTTTAGTTTTATAATCAGATAATTCCTACTCAGTACAGCACTTAAGAAAAAAGCAAGATGAACACCCAGATCTGTTTAAAAACTATTATTAACTTAGCAAAGGTACATCAAATTTCTTTTAGTTTAGAGGATATATAGTGATCTTAGGAATTTTTAGCCTAAGCTATAAAACAGCTCAACTTTGCATCTACCACATGTATTCTTCCATAAATGTAGTCTAGATAAGGCATTTATCTTTAAAAGAATATGTGAAGATGACCAGAATGGTCCTAAAGCCTTTATAGCTCTTTCCAAAACTTAATTTAAATAACATTGCTACGATTCTTGTGGTAAACAGGTGTTCTGTACTTGTGATCTAGTTAGGACTGATTTCCAAAAAATCAGTGGAAAATGGAAAAGGGAACATAAAATTCCAAATACTTTTTTTTTTTTAATTCATTTTCATTTTAGGGAACATCACTCTGTTCTTGCAATAACTGTAGACAATGAGAAGTGTTTATGGTGTTGATTAATACATTCAGTGCCGGTAGCTCGGTGAGCAGCTGCAGCGCCAGCTGCAGGCTGAGCTCTGGGCGGCTGAAGCCCTAGGAAAGAAGCCTGGGTTGCCGACCCTTTGCATAACAAAGGGCACGGGGACCTGTGGCCCAGCCAGGTGAATGGACACTCAGAGACACAGCTGGAGCTGAGGACACCCAGACTTTAGGGCACTTAGACTGTGAGTGTATAAAAGCCCAGGGTTTCCTTTGTTAGGGTTCTGTCCTCGGAGGCACCCAGCTGGAGATGCTTTTTTGTTAGTTATTGCACCAAGATTAAAGTATTTTAAGGATCGGGACGTCTGAGACTCTGCTATGGGGAATCTGGGGTCGAGCCGGTAAGGAAATCTGATCTGACTGTGTGAGTGTGGGACGTGTAGCTGCAAAGGGGCCACGGTCCCAGCTCAGCTGGTGTAAAAGTGACTGCCAGAGTGGCTCCTAGATGGTCAGATAGGAAAGTTTCTTTAGCAGTGGTGCACCATATCTTTGCCACAAAGTGACCTCAGGCAGCAGTTGATTATATCTAGAAAAGTAGATGGAATTGAGTCATCGTAATCATTGAATAAAATTTCAAAAACCTTTAGGGAAGGGGTGGTAGTATTTGTCTCTTCAGGTTAAATCTCTAACAAGAATTTTCAAAGATATTATGCCACAATGGTCTTTAGTAGATTTGTAAGTAGGACCAATGTGTAGGTGTGTGGTAACTGTGAATGATAAGCTTTGCTTTCCACACTTGAATTCTGTGGGTTCTCCGTCTCCAAGTGCCATATTCTCCAGTTATCCACTGTCAGAACTGTTCTTTTTCCAAGGAGAAAATGGAATATGGTTCACAGTTGTAATATTTTAAGGGTAGAGTCCATAGAGCTTAGCTCTGGTTTACAGGGCATTAGTTTTACTACTTCACAGGCATCCAAATGTCACAGAATCACAGAATATTCTGAGTTGGAAGGGACCCACAAGAATCATCAAGTCCAACTCTTAACCCTGCACAGGACATCCCCAAAAATCATGCCATGTGCCTGCGAGTGTTGTCCAAACGCTTCTTGAACTCTGTCAGGCTTTGTGCTTTGACCAGTTCCCTGGGGAGCCTGTTTCAATGCCCAGCCACCCTCTGGGTGAAGAACCTTTTTCTAATATCTAACCTAAACCTCCCCAGACACAACTTGAGGCCATTCTCTCGGCTCCTCTCACTGATCACCACAGAGAAGAGATCAGTGCCTGCCCCTCTTCTTCCCCTCACGAGGAAGTTGTAACTGCAATGAGGTCTCCCTTCAGTCTCCTTTTCTCCAGGCTGAACAGACCAAGTGACCTCAGCCCCACCTCATATGACTTCCCCTCAAGGCCCTTCACCATCTTTGTTGCCCTCCACTGAACACTCTCTAATGGCTTAATATCTTTCTTATATTTTGTTGCCCCAAACTGCACACAATATCCAAGGTAAGGCCACACCGGTGCAGAGCAGAGCAGGACAATCCCCTCCCTTGACCAGCTGGTGATGCTTTGCCTGATGCCCCCCAGGATATGACTGGACCTCCTGGCTGCCAGGGCACTGCTGACTCATAATCAACTTGCTGTGAATCAGGAGCCCCAAGTCCCTTTCTGTAGCACTTCTTTCCAGTGTTTCGTTCCCCACTCTGTACATACATCCAGTGTTGCCCGTCCCCAGTGCAGAACCTGGCACTTACCCTTATTAAACTTGGTATGGCTGGTGACTGCTTGGTCCTCTAATTTTTTGAAGTCTTTCTGCAGGGCTTCCCTGCCTTCAAGGGAGTCAACAGCTCCTCCCAGTTTTGTGTCATCTGCAGACTTGCTAAGTATCCCTTCCAGTCCTGCATCCAATTTGTTTATGAAGATGTTGAAGAGCACAGGGTCTAAGATGGAGCACTGTGGAACCCCACTAATGACAGGTCTCCAGTCTGATGTTACCCTATTCACTATTACTCATGAGCCAATTGCTAACCCACTGCATGGTGTGTTTATTCAGCTGTGGGCTAGACATTTTGAGACAGTATCAAAAGCTCTATTGAAATCCAAAAAGATTACATCCACTGGCTTCCTTTGATTAACTAGGTGGGTTACCTTGTCATAAAATAAAATTAGGTTTGACAAGCAAGACTTTCCTCTCATGAAGCCATGCTGGCTGTGGCCAAGGTCCTCATCATCTCTTAAAAAGCTTGTGGGTCTTTGGATGTCTGAGAGTTGTCAGATTATCGTGTGGATATCAGGTCCATAGGGCCTCTCAAATGTAGATGATAATGTTTCCTTTGTGAAGTTTGATAACAGGCAAATATAGCAGTTTGTGGGAAAATTTGGGAATTGCTTCCTCAATTTGCACATTTTCTCAACATGTCACAGTATCTAGTAGCTAATTCATTTCTTGAGAGAGAGTATGATATTCAGGAATAGCCTACAGGACAGTCTAAGTCAGTTCAAATCTGGGAGATTCACAGTTTGCATCATTGGTCCAGAACTAAGTAGTAATTGATGTATAGTTACAGATTACAGAACTAAGTAGTAATCGAAGTATGGTTACAGGTTACAGCATCTCATTGTATGAAGTTCTATCCATCAAACAGTTCACAGTAAAGTAATACTAGCAATTGACATGTTTATAAACTTTTGATCTACTTTTGCCAGGAAGACTTAGCTTTATATTTGTAGTCCAACCTATTTATCATCTGCACTGAATATCTTTATATGTTCAAAACTTTGTATCCTCAAAAGAATTGTAAAATTCTTTTGACCTCTCTGCTTGCAAACCTGATGTGGACTTCTGTTCTTCAAGACTTGTGTAAGTGGTTGTAGTTGCTGTTTTCTCCCTTCTGGCCTGCACATACATTTCCATCTTATAGTGACTAGAGGTGCCAGTGTGGGTGATATATACCTATGTCTCGTTCAAACATAGGGCTTGAAACACATCTGAATCCAAAGGCAGGATTCAACATCACTGTCTGCATAGTGTCTTATAAAATGGATAGATCTATTGGTGTTTGTTTCAGAAGGTGCTTTCTAGAACATCAGACATTTTTCTGTTTTTATAGCCTCGTGAACAGTAAGTTACTCCAAATGTATCATTAAATTATTTTAAATGTATCATTGCTGCTTCAGTGTAGTTCAAATTGCAGGAGAACCCCCAGCTTCTTACTGAAAATCCCGCTGCCCTCAGTGTCCTCTGAAATGTGAAGGATCCACTCTCCCATTTCCTGGGATGCTCACTGGTGCCAGGGTTCAGCATGTAGGCTTCCAGAGCAACAGTAATATCTGTCATTTTGAATGAATACAAATCTGTAACAATCTATGTTTGTACAGTCCCAGTGGAAACATGTGGTGTCAGCTGTGCTCACAGTACTTTAAAGGTTTTATTAAGTCAGCTGGCAACACACCCCGTCTCCAGGCACTGACTTTTATGGCAAAGGACCTAAGAGACTTTTTTTCTTCCTTCTTTTTTTTTCTTTTTTTTTTCATTTTTTCCCCCTTTCCCATGTCAACTAGCTTTCAGAACCACAGGAATTGGTTTTATAGAAGTCTTATGGGTGTGCTGTTATGTTCGTAATACCCACAATATAGTTTACAGGTGAGCATTTTTACCCACCCACACAGTCTTACACATACACATGCACATACTGTCAAGTACCTTTATGCAGTCTGATATTAATTCTGTTCAACTTATTACTATTGATTGAAAGAGAAACTGCACAGAATTTATAAATATTTAAACCAGCTTTCTTAGCCCATGAATGTAGCCATTTGAAAGGAGGCTGTGACAAACTGCTTGAAGGTTCTGGACCATATATCACAGTAAAATTCCACAGATGCTCTGTCCGGTGGCTTTTTATTTAAGAACTGTGCTTTCTGTTTGCTTTAATGTAGACAAAATTGTTTAATTAGTAAATGTTAAAATATTGGTTTGCTTAAGTCATGTTTTGAGAATCAGTTGTTCAAAGACTGAACTTTCCAGTGACATTCAGAATCTTTTCTCTTGCAGCCATTTCGTAGAGTGACGTTTTCTGTTGTGAGTCAGCCTCAGGACCCGCATCAAGGGTCATTGCAGAGTTGCTATGACAGCGGTCTGGAGGAGTCAGAAACACCAAGCAGTAAGAGTTCATCAGGGCCAAGACTGGGTGCCCTTCCACTCCCAGAGGACAACTACGAAAGGACTACGCCGGATGGCAGTGTTGGTGAGGCAGAGCATATGGAAAATGGTAGGGGCAAACACAACATTCACACACCTAATCTCACTAGCAAGTGATACTAAGTAGACTTTTGAAAGGTCAGTCCAAAAATATAAAAAAAATAAATTAAATAGTTAACACTGTAATAATTTTATTTTAAAGCTTGATAAAATGCAGGTATACAAAATAATGGAACATAACACCACTAAAAAAACCAGCACTTTCGTTTCTTTACATGATTTAAAATCTGTACTGCAGAAGCAGTTAAAACAGTGAAAAAAAAAATACTAGTAAAGGGCGGGGGAGATGGTAATTGAATTAAATTCCATATTTTTCATTCTAGATAAAAGACCATAAAGGACATGTATTCTTGTTTCCTTCCATATTTTTTTCAAAAACTACTTAGGAAATTTCCCAGAAAGTAATATGTACAGTACCAGGAAAAGAAAATAGGATTTAAAAACCCCACTCTACAGAATTCTATATAAACGTTATATAGACTGTTTTCAATATAGTGCCAAATGACAAGCCCATTCTTCATTATTTAGAAAAGAAGAACATTACTTTCCTTTTCTTCACTTTTTATTTTATACAGTACTTTTACAACATCTCATTTAAATTCAGGGTCCATTTATGTAAAAGGGGAAAATGCTGCATACTTATTTATTCCATAGTAATTCTCCTACTATTAAAAAACCCAGATATGTTAATATAAATCTTAAGTTAGGTTCTGTTTTTCTTTCTATCTAAAATTATTCAGGATTAAAAAAATAAGACCCATTCAATTTGAAATGTATTTTATAAAACACGAATATTTCACTCTTCTCCACTTACTGGTCTTGATCTAAAATTTTATGAAGTCAGACACTCACTTCATTGTATTTTTATTTGCCCATAAATAATGGAATAAATTAGTAAATGTCAAAGGGTACAGATTTTTGATAACCAAAGAAATAATGGGTTTTCTAATCCAATTGTAATTGGTGGGTAAATGTAAGAAGGGTGGTGTATTTTTATTATAGAATGAATTAATTAGTTTGGCTAAGTGCATGTTTTAGTTTTTCAGGGATAACAACACTGGATAACTGTTCCTTGGGTTTTGTCTTTTCTGAGATAGACATGTCAACCCAGTAAAACTATGTTATTCTTCATGGTAAGATATTGTCAAATCTAGTATGTATGACTAAAGAACGGCTACAGCAGTCTACATATGCTTCAAATGTATATCCCAATAGCAAATAACTAAGTGACCAAAAAGAAAGATGGTATTATCCATCTAAAGATGTATTAGTTATGTATGTTTATAAGTGTGTGTCTATATATTTTTCTTGGTTGTCTATATGAATATATTTATTTACATTTCATTTTTCTGGAGATGAGGGGAGGAGGGAAGTGACAATGGTGTTACTGGAAGAATGTCAGAAAAAAAGTACTTTGTACCTAAATTGGGCTGATTATTTTATTATCTGTTTTGTAGTGAGATTTTGTGGTTAGGATAATAAAATTAAACAATTTATTAATTCCCTTGCATACAGCAACATAGAGGATTTGTAGACATGAAATTCTGAGTTCAAAGTAGCTAACATGGGGTAAACCTGAGCCACACTGGAGGAACAGTAGAGCCAAAAGTGAATATAATTTTTAACATATTTGGTAACCAATATGAAATAATAATGAAAGTATTAAGGAAATAATAATGAAAAAAATCACAACCACAGAAGTGTAATTGAAAATGAATAGTGTTTGAGCAGTGTCATAAGTTAAAGCAAACCAGTTTACTTAGGATTTTGTGTTGATACAAAAACTGGCATTGCATTATAATAACTAAAATATTTCAGATGTAAATTGGATTTTTTTGAAAAATGATATTTTGTATGTGGTAGGATGAATTTGTTGGATTCAGTTTTAAAAATAACGTTCTATAGTTAGTAGATAGAAACATATAGGTAGATAAATACATTAATTCATGGATAAGTGAATGAAAAAAAATCTCCAGAAAAAAATTCTGCATGGTAGGACATGCATATAGCAACCAGAAAATCCTTCTCCTTTATAAAACCTTGAACTGAAACCTTTGAGAGATGGGTGATATTGTGATGAAAATTATGCTCTACAGACTTTTGGATTTCAACAGTGGCATGTCACCTGCCTCCAGAAATTTCTGTTAACATTAATCTATAAATAATGACAGAACAGGATGAAATCTACTTTTATTCCTTCATATATGTAATATCTGACATTTGAGTGAGAGTTTTCTGTGATATGATTCTTTAGTCCATTTGTATTTTAACTATTTTAAGCACAATTGTATTGTTCAAATTCTGATAATGTAGTCTTCAATATTAATGGATCATTCTGACAGAAACAGAATTGAAATTGAAATCTGTCAAGCGTTCATTTGTCACATTTAATTGGAATCTAGGTAATCTGCAGTGTTTAGCTTGGTTAGGTTTTAATCAGGATTTATACTGGATTTTCATGGAGATTTTCCATGGAAACAGCACTTTGGAAGTGATCTTGGTTATTAATTTTTACTTCAAATATTTACCATTTAATTTCAGTTGGTGAAACAATGCAGTTATAACTAATTGCTTTGTACTTCCTTTCATTTTAGAATTTGAAAGGATAATTTCCAGCTCAATACATGAAACCTTCTGATACATTTCGTACTTTTTTTTCAAGCTAAGATGACTAAGGAAAATAAGAAATCTTTATAGTTAAGGCAAATTTAAGAAGGTTGAGTTCACAGGCAGAGTAAATAGGAAAGTTCTGTTTTCTGTTAAGAGCATCTTTCCATTTGCTCAGCCGAGGATAAAATGCTCAAAAATTAAAAAAAAGGATAAGAGGGTTGATTTTCTTAGAATATGCTGTACATTGCCTACCAGCCTACATGACTGTCAGATGTAGATTGAAGTTTTGTTCTGATGATTAGCTGTGGTGTCAGATGCGGGAGGGAAAAAAAAAAAAAGAAAGAAAAAAGAAATGTTAGCAGATTGACTGTGAAAATTCAGTATGCAAAGATCTTGTTAATTAGTAAAATCTGCAGAACCAAAAGTAACTTCTGAGTTAATTTATCCCCTGCCCTTGGAGCTTTCCTTACAAGGAAATTCTGCTCATATGTGCATCCTTCTTCTCTAATTTTGCTGTTAGAATGGCACAGCCTTAATGTAAATTGCACAATAATTTCTTGAGAACATTTTCATTGCATTTGTATTTGTATATCAAGGGTAAAGCCATTACCATGGCAAATTAGTTTCCTGGTCTTTAGTCATAGCCTTCTGGTTTTGACAATGCCTAATATCACATCTCAGAGGAAAATTTAGAAAAAATCCCAGTGACAGAAACTTCCACTATTACCTCTCTTCCTGACTCTAACAGTTAATAGTCAGCATATGTTTTAAATTATGATTTTCTAAATACTACTAATAATAGTAGTACTAAAAAAACCCCTCTAATTTATCACAAGTCAAGTTACTGGCCTGAAGGATATCTTTCAACAAGGAAATTCTCTGAAGGCTATCAAAATTGTTATGGGTTTATTTTCTTTTTTCTTTTGTATAACTGTTTTAGTGACTATTCCTTTTTACCGTTATGAGAAAGAACATGGAAGCATTCCATTTTATGTTTCCTTAGAACTTGCCTGTCCTCTGAATTATAAATATTCCTAGGTTCTTCTAGTGAAGGTAAGAGTAGCTGGAGATGTATTCTCACAATTTGAGGAATGGACAATATGGCTTTTTCATACTAATTCATGTTATTAAGTACACATATGATCTCTAAGCAGAGACACTCATTCTTCAGTTTCATGTCCATTCACCTGGTTGTTAGGTCTCTCATGTTTCTTGCAGCCCTCTTAGAAACATTTCATTATATTCCTTCCCCTCACCCCCTGATTTCTGTATACTTAGTATTTATTTATTCATGTAGTGGCCTAATCAGTTTTATTTTTTTGTTTAATTTAGCTAGAGTACTTATAGCAGTGAAATAGCAGTATTTCAGATCTCCAGGTCTTCCCTGGAGATTTATTTCCATGCAGTCCTAATTAGATTGTTTGCCACACCTGAGATACCTGGCTTAAAGCTAGCTCAGGTATTTCTGCATGAACATGTCTTTGATCTACAGCACAGTATTTTAAGTTAGCCCATGTTTCAGTATCAAATAAATAAGGGTTGGGGAAGAGCAGCCATCTCTGTGAAAGAAGGAAAATAAGGGAATGGTTTGCAGCTTTCATTTTTAAAGGGGGAAATGGAGTAAAGAAAGATTAAGTGACACGTATGAAGTCAGACGAAGTAAGGAGCTGAGCTTCAAAAGGAGCTCAGAATTTTTGTGATTCAGTTACTTGACTCCCACAAATAAATCAGTGTATAAATTACACTCTGGCTGACACATGAAGAACTAAAAGGCAGGGAAGAGAAGTGTGTTACCTTGGTTCATATAGTCTGATAATATGCCCTGTTCTCAATGACAATTTCAGATTTAGACTGCAAGTGTCAAAGTTGCACCATCAAAGTAGAGAAGGGGTTCATGATGTGCAAAATGGTGACTTGAAAATGTGAAAGGAATTTTGACAATTAATAAATGCAATTATTTTTATTTATAAGAGCATTCTCTTACTTTTACTTATAAGGTAGATTATTAATCTGTTTTCTGAACCAAAGTGTGAAGAAAAGAATCCATTAGTTTAGAGAACCCATGTTTACAGAATCTGTAGCTTTTGCTAGTGCAAATAACAGAGGTTAATGTTCTTGAAGACTTAACTGTCCTTGTTGTAAACACGACAGACCAGACATTCATTGACTTATTTCATAGAATAACTGTATTTTTGCAGTTCCCATCATTTTCAGATCCTAAAATTATATGAAAATAATTTTCTTTTTAAAATTATGTTCTCAAAATGTGAATGTAAGTAGTCCGAGAGGTTGAGTCAGTAAAGGTTTTCAATGTAGTGATTACATGCTAATAATTCTTTTTGCTTTTTTTTATGGTTTTTTTTGGTTGATTTGATTTGGTTTGGTTTTTTGGTTTGTTTT